CATGATGGACAGGTACATGTGTATGCTGTACAGGAACCAGCAACTTGGACACAGGCACCTCCGTTTTGACAAGCGTGGTTGGAACAAGCATTCAATACTGAGTTTTTTTGGGAAGTAGAGTAGAAAGCCATGTGTTAAAAGACAATATATTTTCATTATTATTGGCTTTGTATTTTTCCAATTTTCAATTTTTCAATTGTGCCATTTCTTTAGAGATTATGTGCACCATATAATTAACTGTATTATTTTTGATTGATTGTTCTAAAAAATATGATCAATATAAAAATATTAACATTAAAAATATATAATTTTATTAATTTTGATTATATTATTAAATAAATGAATATAACATGGATTCAAACAAACAATTACAATCTTGAAATATACTCACAAGTTTCACAGAATTGTCCAGTGTAACACGATGGACAGGTACATGTGTATGCTGTACAGGAACCAGCAACCTGGACACAGGCAGCTCCATTCTGACAAGCATTGTTGTTACAAGCATTCAACACTGTTAAGTTAAATACAAAATTTACACTAATTATTCCTACAGTCATTTAGAACAGATATACATTATACAGACAAGGAACATTTATTTCTTTATTTTCCTACGGTCATTTAGTACAGATATACATTATACAGACAAGGAACATTTATTTCTTTAGTTATCTATTTACTCACTTAATTAATAGCAAACTTTTTGTACATCACTTCCAAACTTCCATTCAACATATTAAGTAAAACAAAACAATAATACTATTATTTTAAAACTTTTTAAAACTAAAGAAAATATTATTATCTAAGGTATCGATATCAAACTCACAAGTTTCACAGAATGTTCCAGTGTAGCAATTTGGGCAGGAACATGTGTATGCTGTGCAGGAACCAGAGACCTGGACACAGGCAGCTCCATTCTGACAAGTATGGGTGTCACAAGCATTCAACACTATAGCGAGAATTATTTTAATCAATGAAAACGATACTAGATAACTCTCATTAAAATGCCTACTGAAAAAGGGGCGCAATACATTAAAACTAAAAAAATCATAATGATATGAAGAACTTAAGCTGCAACTTAGCTGCATCAGGGAACCACACCTTGTTAAACGACAATAGGTTTTGTGACATCAGATGGTGTTTCTGATCTTTTATGCCAAATGAATAAAATAGTAAAAGCTATTTTCTAAAACATTAAATCGAGAAAACTAAGGAGTAACTATGATATGAGAACTAACATGTTTGACATTATTGTCCAATGATGGACAAGTACATGTGTATGCTGTACAGGAACCAGAAATCTGGAGACAGGCAGCTCCATTCTAACAAGCATTGTTAAAACAAACATTCAACACTGATTTATATTTTTAGTAAAAGTAGAAAGTCATGGATTAAAAGGTAATTGGTGTATTTTAAGGAGGTTATGTATTCATTGCTGTTTGTCCGTCTGTTTGTTAGCAGGATTAGGATTATTAGTCGAGTTGTAGATATGGGTCTTAGAGGTGATTAAAATTTGGAATGATAAGGTCAAATGTGAATGTGGAAATCACAGAAATTATAAACTTTCTGTGAAATTTACCCTCAAATAAAAAAATAATAAAATTGCCTGCCTCACCCATAAAAGCCCTGTATGTATTATTTTGTATTCAGGCACAGGCATACTGGCATTTGGTAAATTTTTAAGCAATAGTGCCACAATTATCTGCTTGGAAATTATGGATGTGTACACTATAAATATTTTATTGAATTGTCTGAATATATAAATAATAAATTGAGGAAACTAAATTTTTATAATCATATAAGTAATGATATTTAAAGTTATATAAAATTCTTGGGATGCAAGAAACCAAAAATAAATGATAATGGTAATAAATGGCAATAATATTTAAATATGTCTGAAAAGTTGGTAAATTCAGATACTGTTTATTATTTTTGTCAAAATATCACTTCAGATATATTTTCTTGAATATATCAAATTGACCTGGTGTACCACAAGACTCACTTTGTCACAACAACTCACATATACGGATGAGATCTGACACTATCATGCCCATATATGGGCACAAAATGTGTAGTTGTTGCAAACGTTCACCACTGAGACCAGCATAGCTCAGTCGGCAAATCTGGTGGTAGCCACTACGTGTGCGCTGAAACTTGGAGATCTCTAGGACCCCGGTTGTGAGGGCTAGGCTAAGTAGCGTTGTCTTATGATTGTTGGTGGCATAATAGATCGTCATTAAAAAAGATCTATTGGTGTGTGCGTTGTGGTCATGCATTCTTCGTAGAATCGTATCGCCCAACAATAGTAGGGCACAGCAAGTGTCCAGCATTAGGTTAAGATATTTCTAAATATCTTTAAATGTGGGTAATTTAAAATCAGTTTAAATTACCCACATATAAATTAACAATACAACACATAAAAGACAGAAACAAAATAGAATATGTAAAGGTTTATCATTAAACATATACACACTCGGTACTTATATAACAAAATGTAACTTTAAACTCACAAGTTTCACAGAATTGTCCAGTATAGCAATTTTGACAGGAACAAGTGTAGGCTGTACAGGAACCAGAAACCTGAACACAAGCAGCTCCATTTTGACAGGCATTGTTACTACAAGCATTTAACACTGATATAAAGACAAGTAAAATGTTATTACTTGTACAGAAGGTGGAACATACTTATCAATACAAACTTCAAGAAAGTGTCTTTAAGAATGAAAAAAGAAGAAAAAAGAAGCAAAATTCTAAACCTTACAGGTTTCACAGAATTGTCCGGTGTAGCAAGATTGACAAGTACATGTGTAGGCTGTACAGGAACCAGAAACCTGGACACAGGCACCTCCATTCTGACAAGCATTGTTGTTACACGCATTCAACACTGATATAAAGACAGTTAAAATCGTATTACTTGTACACCAAACATAAATGCCTGTATAAATGCCTGCCGAACCACTGGGTTCATAGGCCACAGTTTCAAAAAGCGTGATGGACCTTTTGGGTGGGATGCTGGTGCACCAAAGGTTACTCCCAGCAATTCGCTGGTAACCATTTATAGCTGGGTAGAATAAGCCAATATACATAAAGTTCCTTGCTTAAGGACACAAGCGAAATGCACAGCAAAAGATTGAAACATTTCCACCGCGCCAAACCACCTCCATACTTGTATAGAAGGTGGTAAGTATTTATCACACAAACATTAAGAAAGTATCTTTAAAATTGAAAAAAGAAGGAAAAAAAGCAAAATTCTAAAACCTTACATGTTTCACAGAATTGTCCAGTGTAGCAAGATTGACAAGTACATGTGTAGGCTGTACAGGAACCAGAAACCTGGACACAGCCAGCTCCATTCTGACAAGCATTGTTGTTACACGCATTCAACACTGATATAAAGACAGTTAAAATCGTATTACTTGTACACCAAACATAAATGCCTGCCGAACCACTGGGTTCATAGGCCACAGTTTCAAAAAGCGTGATGGACCTTTTGGGTGGGATGCTGGTGCACCAAAGGTTACTCCCAGCAATTCGTTGGTAACCATTTATAGCTGGGTAGAATAAGCCAATATACATAAAGTTCCTTGCTTAAGGACACAAGCGAAATGCACAGCAAAAGATTGAAACATTTCCACCGCGCCAAACCACCTCCATACTTGTATAGAAGGTGGTAAGTATTTATCACACAAACATTAAGAAAGTATCTTTAAAATTGAAAAAAAGAAGGAAAAAAAGCAAAATTCTAAAACCTTACATGTTTCACAGAATTGTCCAGTGTAGCAAGATTGACAAGTACATGTGTAGGCTGTACAGGAACCAGAAACCTGGACACAGCCAGCTCCATTCTGACAATCATGGTTGTTACAAGCATTCAACACTGATATAAAGAAAAGTAAAATCGTATTACTTTACAGAAAGTGTTACATATTTATCACACAAGCATGTATAAAACAAGTAAAGCAGATCCTTGTTGAGCCACTAGGGCTCATAGGGCTGGAGCATATCCCAAGTTTCTGTAGCATGAAGTGGATGAGAGTGTAGTACAAGAGAGCCCCTTAACATCAGCTCTTCAGCAATAGGGAGCTAATAGCGGGTCACTCTCGTTAAATATGTTTAAAATAAAAAAATACAATAATACCCCCACCCCCAGGTGGGATGCTAGTCCACTGCCAGTCACTCCCAGCAATTTACTGGCACCCGCTGATACAGCTGGGTAGACTGAAGCAATGTCAATAAAGTGCCTTGCCCAGGGACACAGGTGAAATGCACAGCAAAAAATTGAAACCCCGACCTCAAGGTTGGGAAACCAAACAATTTCCACTGGGCCAAACTGCATCCAAACAAAAAAATATTAGGAAGTATTGTTGTTACAAATATTCAACACTAAAATATATACAGATGTTCATTATGAAAACTCAAAATTTATAAATAAATATAAACAGCATCATGATGTGCATATGGATGTGATCTGACATTACAGATATATGTATCGTAGTGTGGCCAGAGCTTAATCTATGTGCATTACAAAAGCTTATGTCAATGAGGACACTGTGTGTGAAACATCTTTACACATGCTTAGTAGAATCAAGACTACAATAAAGACCCTTTCAGATAGACGTTGCCGCAATATTGCGGTAAGCATGCCGGCATAAAAACTGGTCTATACCCTTTCACACAGCGCCTTTCTTACTGGAATAGTGCGGAAAACTTACGCTTTTCTGTCTAAAAGGGTCCTATAGAATGGCGTAATATTGGCAGTTTAAATACCACCGCGCAATTGTTTTCAACTTTATAGCCTTGCTTGTTTATGCATAAATGCAGACGCCGGCTTGATTGCCACAACATCAAGTAGACCCTTTCAGACAGAGCAAGCAAGTAACCGTTGCCGCAAAATTGCGGCAATATTACACAGGTGCCCTAAAGTATGCCGGCATATTGGCGTATCTAGACCCTTTCAGATAGAAACCCATGTCGGCGTGCTTACAGCAATATTGCAGTATTGCAGCTTTGTCTGATGCTTACAGCAATATTGCAGTATTGCAGTTCTGTCTGAAAAGGGCTTAAGTGAAACAGAGTCAAGCCTTTTGCGACTATGTTGATGTTGAGGTAGGAAGTCTACACACATAGCTCAGCTCTAGCTGAAGATGTAAAGCCTGTTTTCCACTGGGCGAATTTATTCGCATGAATCGAAGGCGTCGGTTCGGTTCCTAAGTTCTGATTGGTTGCACACATTTTTCGCTTCTCAAAAAATAGAAACAGTTCGAACTAAAAATTTCACTGAAGCGTAAACTTCAATAGTAATGTGAATGCGCATGAACTATGCTTTCGATTCACGCCAATAAATTCGCCTAGTGTAAAACCATCTTAAGGTGGCACATCCTTCTTTGTAAATCAGACTTAAGCCAGCTGTCCAGACTATAAACTGTTATTTGACAAAAACATGTGATATGCCTAAATATGGTCATGATGACATCAGACAATGACTGTAAAGGCACATCATGACTACATATGGCCATACAACAGTTTTTAATGCTTCCCAAGGTCAAATACTTGACTAGAGCTATACCTATAGTTAATATAACTATGGACATCAGAATCAGAATCAAATTATTTATCCTTCCTCAGATATTAGTGCAACAAACCAAATTTTCCTACACCATTAAAACAAATTTAAAACTCACAAGTTTCACAGAATTGTCCAGTATAGCAATTTGGACAGGAACATGTGTATGCTGTACAGGAACCAGAAACCTGGACACAGCCAGCTCCATTCTGACAAGCATGGTTAGAACAAGCATTCAATACTAAAATATAAAAAAAAAATGTAAAGGATAAAAAAGATAATATGTAGAACATGTGGGTATATACAGTAGTAGTATTATTAGTGGTGTTGGTATTAGTGGTGGAAGTAGTAGTGCTAGTAGTAATGGTAGTGGTGGTGGAATTACGTAGTAGTAGAAGTTTAGTAGTAGTGGTAGTGACCAATGTGGTAGTAGTAGTAGTAGTAGTAGTAGTAGTAGTAGTAGTAATCGTAGTAGTAGTAGTAGTAGAGTAGTTGTAGTAGTGGTAGTGGTGGAAGCAGTAGTAGTAGAAAAAGTAGTAGCACTAGTAGTAGCAATGGTAGTGGTATTAGTGGTGGTGAAAGTAGAAGTGGTGGTTGTGGTAATAGTTGCATTAGTAGTAGTAATGTTTCAAAGAAAGTATACACTGTGCAAAATCCAGATACATGGATGTAAGCAGCAATGTAGTAGTTAAGCATTAAACACAGAAATAGAAAAAAATGAAGAAGTATTACAAAATTTTTAATAAGGAATTGGGAAATTAATTTGTTGATAATATAAAAAGCTTAGAATATATTTGAGCGTTGAAATACAAACTCACAAGTTTCACAGAAAGACCCTGTGTAACATGACGGACAGTTACACCTGTAAGCTACACAAGAACCAGCAGCCTGAACACAAGTAGCTCCATTCTGACAAGCACTGTTGTCACAAGCATTTAATACTAACATACAGATAAGTGAAAAAAAAAAAAATAGAAGAGAAAACAATGAGAAGTAAGTATATATAGACAGTAATAACACATATACTGCCTGTGGTAAAATAATTCAAATAAAAAATATAATTGAGTAATCTATTATTAATCAGACACAATTTGAAAAAAACAATTAATTACAATATTTAATTCATTTTTACTACAAAAATCCAGAAAACTGGACACAAGCACCTCCATTCTGACAAACGTGGTTATCACAAGCATTTAGCACTAGCAGAGACAGACACGGGATATTTTTAAAAACTACTTATTGAAATTGTATATACCCTATTTAAATTAAGTGTATATGGTCATTAGAGAATTTGGTCGTTTTATGTACAACTACAAAGCAGAGGCCCCAAGTTTGAAAAAGTTACTTCAGGAGATCTGGTTGAATGACCTCAACACATGTAATTTAATTTTGCTTAACATAGTGGTGAGACGTCTGTGAGAAAATTGATAATAGAGCAGTGAAAACTTGCCAATATTATGAATTTGCAGGAAATGGGTTATTTTCCGGGAGATCCTTGCTTGGTTACGGGAGTGTGGGAGGCCGTCCCGATATCCAAGAGACATCTCCATGTTGCGGAAGACTTAGGACCCCTGACAAATGGACTTACTACCTACTACGACACAGATGGTCCACTGCTTTGTCTGTATATCTTTTATTGTTTTTTTAGCAGGGATGGGGTTGTGAAAGGGGGATGGGGGCTACTGAATACAGAGTACTGTTCTTTCATAGTACTGTATATCTTCACTAACCTTCTAAGAAAACAATCTATTATAAATGTTAAACATTATTATTTAGATGTGTCAAGAGCCACAAGTTTATGTTAGTACAACCTTCACAGGTTTAACTTAATACTACAGTATGTATTTTAAAATGTATTTAATATAAATATTTTGCCAGATTAATGCCTTTATTAATGGAACTACTGCTCACATTTCATTTTGATGAAGCAAAAATCCCAAGGGACTAAAGCCATTAACTGTCACTAGGGCTACGTTCACACTTGCACTCTAGCCAGGCATAACTGAAGCATGGAGCAAGTCCCACATCTGGTGTGAACATATTGAGTATGCATGGTACATGGGTTAAAGGTTAAACTAGCTCCACTAATTGAAACCATCAGACACTACTGTGTTGATAACTGTGGTCACACTTTGACCAATGGCAGCTATCAACACATTGTTACAGCTGTGATTGGTCACACTTTGACTAGAGGTTATAGCGACAAATATCAAGCAAAGGTCAACCTGGTTACCTTATCTGGTTTGGGTTGTCTAGGTTAAGAGCAATCTCATGACAGCATGAATCATTAACTTAGTCTAATTCTGACCCCAAACTTCTCACTTGGAAAAAGTCAAGCCTGGATTGATTGTCATTAAACCTGACTCTCCGATCGTAGCATTGCTTGATTATTTGTTATGAAAGCATTGACCAGATTCTGTCTCTTATACACATCTAGATGTGTATAAGAGACAGCATTCAACACTGATATAAAGACAGTTAAAATCGTATTACTTGTACACCTGTCCCTTATACACATCTAGATGTGTATAAGAGACAGGTGGAGAAAAACCCATAATTTTATTGTACAATAGTAATTTACTGAATTTAAAATAGCTTTATTAAAGA